AATAATCTAATACTAAAGAATAAGTGTGTTAAAGAACAATTCAAAGAAATAATAATTTCATTAAGCAGAATGACTACAATGAGATAACATACCAAAATTGATAAGATAAAGCCAAAGCTTTATTTAGGAGAAAATTTATATGTCTAAATGCTTACATCAACAAAATAAAAGAACACATTGATGAATTAGGCATGCAAATAAAAAAATAAAAAAATAACAAATTTTAAATCTCCAATTAAATACCAAATTGGACATTCTAAAATTTAAAAAGATTAATTAAATTAAATTAGGAAAACCATCTAACTGCTAAATGAAACTAGTAGCTGGCTTTTTGGGAAAAGAAAACAACAAAATAGATGAACTGTTGGTTAACATGGTTTAAAAAAGAAAGGAGAAAACAAAATTACTAGTATTAAAAATGAAAGGGGTGAATTCACCACCAATAAAGAGAAAAATAAAGCAATTATGATCAACTATTTTTCTCAATTATATGCCAATAAATCTGGCAATCCAAGAAAAATTGAAGAATACTTCAAAAATGTATATTGCCCAGATTAATTGAAGAGGAAATAGAATACTTAAATAACTCAATATCAGAAAAAGAAATTGAGCAAGCCATCAATCAAATTTTAAAGAAAGAAATTATGAGGGTCAGATGTATTCACAAATGCATTCTACCAAAAATTTAAACAATAATTAATTCCAATACTATCTGAACTATTTGGAAAAATAAGTGGAGTCCTACTAAATTCCTTTTATGACCCAAATATAGTGCTCATACCTAAAACAATAAGAAAGGAAAAAGAAAAATAAAACTGTACACCAATTTCCCTCATTAATATTGATACAATTTTTAAAAATAAAATACTATCATGGAGAATTCAGCAATATACCACAAGGATCATACACTGTGACCAGGTGAGACTCATACCAGAAATGTAAGACTCATTCAATACTGAGGAAACTAGAGTATAATTGACTATCCCTAACAAAACCAAGAGAAATCAAATGATTTTCTTAATAGATACCAAAAAAAAGCTTTTGACAAAACACAGCACCCACTCCTATTACAAACACTAAAGAGGATAGGAATGAATTTAGTTTACCTTAAAATGATAAGTAGTATCTATCTAAAACCATCGGCAAGCATTATGTGTAATAAGGATAAAGTAGAAGCCTTACCAATAAGATTGAGGTGAAGCAAAAGAAGGAAGGAAAGAAAGAAAGAAGGAAGGGAAGGAGGGAGGAAGACAGAGAGATAGATAGACAGAAAGAAAGAAAGAAAGAAAGAAAGAAAGAAAGAAAGAAAGAAAGAAAGAAAGAAAGAAGAAAGAAAGAAGAAACAAAGAAACAAAGAAACAAAGAACAAAGAAAGAAAGACGGAAGGAAGGAAGGAAGGAAGGAAGGAAGGAAGGAAGGAAGGAAGGAAGGAAGGAAGGAAGAGGGAAGGAAGGAAGGAAAGAAAGAAAGAAAGAGAGAAAGAAAGAAAGAAAGAAAGAAAGAAAGAAAGAAAGAAAGAAAGAAAAGAAAAAGGAAGGAAGAAAGACTGATGGAAGGAAAAAAGGAATGGAAATCAGAAAATAGTATGGCAAAAACAAGGTTTAGAACAACATCAAAGACAGTATACCAAGATAAGGTCAAAATGCATACATGAGTTAGACATAAAAGGTGATACTACAAGCAAATTAGGAGAGCAAGGAATAGTTTATTTTTCAGATCTATAGCTAAGGGAAGAATTTAGGACAAGACAAGAAGTTAGACAGCATTATGAAATATAAAATGAATTCTTTTGAATACATGAAATTAAGGTTTTCACACAAACAAATCCAATGTAACCGAAATTAGAAGGAAAGCAGAAAAATGTGAAAATAATTTTTAGCAAATGTCTCATTTCTCAAATACATAGAAAACTGAGTCAAATTTATAAGAATACAAATCATTCCTCAGTGAATACATGGGGAAAAGTTTGAAGAGGCAGTTTTCAGAAGCACTCAAAGTTATCTATAATCCTATGAAAAAATGCTCAAAGTCACTATTGATTAGAGAATTGCAACATACAACTCTGAGATACTAGCTTAAACTATCAGATTGGCTAATATGACAGAAAAGTCAAATGATAAATGTTGGAGAAGATGTGGGGACATGTGGGGACATGAATGCATTGTTGATGGAGTTGTGGACTGATCCAACCTTTATGTAGAACAATTTGAAACTATGCCCATAGGGCAATCAAACTGTGCATACCCTTTGATCCATCAAAACCACTACTAGGTCTGAATCCCAAAGAGATCATAAAAAGGGAAAAGGACCTACATGTACAAAAACATTTATAGCAGCTCTTTTTGTGGTGTCTAAGAATTGGAAATCAAGGATATGCTACTCATTTGGGGAATGGTTGAATAAGTTGTGGCATATTAATTTAATGGAATATTTTTGTGCTATAAGACATGACAAGAAGGATGACTTCAGAAAACGTGATAAGAGTTACATGAACTGATACAAAGTGAAGTGAGGAGAAGCAGAAGAATGCTGTATACAGTAATGGCAATACTGTATGATGAAGAGCTGTGAATGACTTAGGCATTCTCAGTAGTACAATCCAAGGTTACTCCAAATGATTCAAGATGCTATCCACCTCCAGAGAAAGAACTGATGTTGTCTGAATACAGACTGAAACATATCAATTTTCACTTTCTCTTCCTTCCTTCCTTCTTCCTTCCTTCCTTCCTTCCTTCCTTCCTTCCTTCCTTCCTTCCTTCCTTCCTTCCTTCCTTCTTTCCTTCCTTCCTTCCTTCCTACCGTTCTATCAAATCTTCTTACACAAAATTACTAATTCAGCAATGTTGTATCTGATGGCACATGTATACCTATATTAGATTACTTACCATCACAAGGAAGGTAGTGGGAAGGGAGGGAGGGATAAAACTGGAGCTCAAAACTTAAAAATTTTTTAAACTTGTTTTCACATGTAATTGGGAAAATTTGTTTTTTATTTTAAGTATGCTGGTATAATTTACATTTCAAAATTAACAGAATCAGATCAAGTTGATCTGATTGTGTTAATTGATCCAGAAAAAAAAAATTTCTAGCAAATAGTTATCTGAAAAATTCCCAGCTTTTGTTTTATCTTCATTTCATCCTTGACCAAGTGCTCTTCATCACCCGTCTCATTTTGCTTCCTGAATTTCCCCACATCAGTTTATCTCCCTCCATGCAATAGAAAAAAATGCAATAGAAAAGAATCTAATAATCTCTGACCATATGCCAGGCTTTATAATAAGCATACTGCCTCCACTTGGATTCCCTTTTACCAGTCTGTCACATTAGAATATGGTTTAACCTTTCAACATTATATCTAGCTGAAGAATCTCAACCTCAAGTTGCAGTAATACTTCAGATATCCATTTTGCATGTTGGAATTTGTATCTTGGTTTTGCCTTCTGGGAGTCAAGATGGCAGAGGAAGCAGTAAATTGCTCTAGCGCTCCTTTATTGACCTTGAAAAATCCAGAGAATATTGCCCCAGGAAAAATCCTGGAATAGTGGAGCCAGGAGAAAGAAAAGATACAGCAGTCTTTCAGGTCAGGAGGCTAGGGGGATTAATGGGAAAGCCTCTTGCTGTGCCTAAAGGAGTCAAATTCAGGAGGGGAGGTGTCCTTCTGGCAAGTCAGTGGCAAGGCCCACTTCAGCAAACCAGTGGGAGATACTGAGCTCTACAGTGGTGGAGGGGCAAGTGCCAACACCAGGCACACAACAGCCACCACCACCAGCTCTGACTCAGCACCAGGTAAATTACCAAATGCCTACAGTCTCCAGCTGCCAACATATGAGGCCCCAGCACACAAAACCAGTAACCAGGCCCCTACTCCCCAGGTACAAGAAGCCTGGGTCAGTATCCCCCATTGCGCAGAAGCAGCGACCAACTTTGAATGCTAGGAAAAAAGGCAAACAACATGAGCACGAAGCAGCAAAGAAATTTGTATCTTTGAATGGAATGGTTGGAGAATGGCCTGGAAAAGGTAAAGAAAAAAAAAGAAGTCCAGGGAAGTTGAGAGGCAAGAGACATCTTGGACATCATCAGGGACTCAGTGATTCACTAGGAAATACCTGAAGGGGATATACTTGAAAAGAAACGTTTGCTTTTTATCCTTATGGATCTAAATGTCTTGTCAAACTAGTGCTACAGAGAAGTCATGATTATTCTTACTTCACAGATCAGGGATCTGAGGTATGCACCAATATATCCAGCCAAATCAAGAGGATCATTTATCAAGTAAGAGGAATATAATTTTGAAAATGTGAGAGGTCTGATTGAAAAGAAACTTCATATTCCCTCTAATTGCATTGTCATTATCCTCTGATATGTTCATGAATATATAAAAATATGTATACATGTGGGATATGTATCTACATATTTACACATTGGGAGGATCATATGCATAATATATATAAACACGTATATACATATGTATATATACACATTATATACACATATATATACATATATACATATACATATACATATATATAAAATATATATACACACATTATATATACATATATATATACATATATAAAACGTGTGTGTGTGTGTGTGTGTATATAAAATGTACCTAGAGGTAGGTATGTTTTGTATATGCACAGTGTATATGAAAATGCAATAAGATGAACATAGTAAATGTCTGATAATTACTGATTTGCCTCATAATTGTAACTTCAGTGAAATTAGTCATCGTATACAAAGCATGTAAACCATTAAAAGAATACATCTTCTCTTTCTACCTGTGGGTGTAAGAAAGGAAAGATTCACAGGGTCACAAAGGAGATTAGATAGATAGATAGATAGATAGATAGATAGATAGATAGATAGACAGACAGATAGACAGATGGATGGATGGGTGGATGGATGGATGGATGGATGGATGGGATAGATGTTCACTGTGAATTGGGAAGAAATCAAAGAGCTTGAAAACTTTTCAGCCTCATACTTCACCTGATATTCTAAGTAGTCTCCTTGTGCTGGATGCTGTTGAGTTCCCTCTGTAAGTCATTCTCCACAAGGCCTATCTGAATGAGGGGGTTTATGTCTGTTCTCATGTTCCTTTTTCTCACTGTGTCTCTTGCACAGTAATATATGCCTGTGTCCTCAGTTTTCAGAGAATTCATTTGCAGGTGCAGCATGCTGTTGCTGTTGTCCCTGGAGATGGTGAATCGGCCTTTCACAGAGTCTCCATAGTATGTGGTTTCTCCCTTAGCATTAATATATGCGAGCCACTCCAGCCCCTTGCCTGGAGCCTGGCGGACCCAGTCCATGCCATTGCTGCTGAAGGTGAATCCAGAACCTTTGCAGGAAAGGCTAAGAGATCCTCCAGGCTGTCTCACATCACCCCCAGACTCTACCAGCTGAACCTCACAATGGACACCTGCAAACAAAGAGTCAGTTAAGACAATAGTCACACAAATACACCACTTCAAAGAGTGTATCCTTGGTCAAAAAAACAAACAATACAAAAAGTACCTTGTAAAATAGTCAGAATGAAAATGACATTCAGTCTCAAGCCCATTGTTCAGGCTCTACAGTGTCAGTCCTTAGGAGAGAAAGACCATACATAAGAAAAGCTATTCTCCCAGAGCTGCAGACATAGGTTTTTGCTGGTTTTCATCCCTAGAGGGAGGAGCCCAATTTGCATGTCTTTCTATGTTTAGTGTGAGGAAAAGCAACTGCCTCCCAGTGGAATGTCTCCACCCTCCCCCTCTGAGCTTCATAAAGGTTTCCCCCAGAAATAGTTAAAAAATGCTGGGGAAAGTTAGTGACACTGAGAATCTAAATATCATTGGTGAGGACTCAGTGTCTACCCTTCTCCATCACTCCAATTTATTCTCAATAAGAAAGGAATGCTCATTAGACTTTTCTTTGTTACTGATATTTTCCTAGCTTATCCCAAGGTCATTTCTAATTAGGAAGGCACCCCAAGCTTTTGTCATTATTTATCTTCAGAAGATATTGGATGTAAGGTAGGGATTCTTTTTTTTTTGGTGGGGGTTGGGGGATAAGGCAGTATTTCTCAGCCTACTCCTGACATCTCTGTTTGCCTATAGGGCTAGTTTTTGCTCATCCTCTTTGGAACTGGATTTCATGTGAATTATTTACCCCCAGTCTTCTTTATGATCCCTAATATCGAGGGTATATTCTGTTGGCACAAGAGAGGTCATTGTGAAGTTTTCGATGTGATCATTTATACTTCAGAAATCAGCAAACATTGAAAATCAGGGCTTGACTTTAATTGGTTTTCTTAATTTTTTAGATTTAACAGAGGGAGAGAGAAAATGTTAATAATGTCGATTAACAAAAGTGTATCATTCATACATTTTTCACCCTTGAGACCTGCTTGTTAAAAAACTTACCAGAATACTCAAGCTTATATCCCAATTTGAGCTGAAAGAATTGAGGCACAAAATGGACAGGGCATAATAAAGCTCACTGAATTTCTTGGAACCTCCAAAATTCCCCATGTTTTGTTTCTCAGAAGGATTCTTTGTGTGTGGTGAGACAGTGACACTGTATCTGCTGGGGAATGTGTATATCTTCTGGAGTATCTGGGAACAGGTTTAGGCTGAGCCTCAGACTGAAGGGACCTCCCTCCCAGAGCAACCAAGTCTGCTGCCACCTACTGTACACAGTGACATCAGCCAAGACAACATTTTTCTGGCTTATCTGCCCTTTACAGTAATTCTTTACTTCTTGAGAAAACATAGTTCTCATCAGAGACTATTAGAATGCTGGCAAAAATACGATTTATTCTCTAATTGGTCTTTGAAATTGTGGAATTTTGTGTATTGTAAAGCCTGAACTGGGTCAGTCTGTCTCTTGTTTTTGCTTCCCCTGGTACAAGCCTTACTTTTGCATTCTCCTGTCGTTGCTATATAACATATAGGAAAAAAGAACAATTCAAAGCAGCTTATGGAATACAATTAGATTTATGTTCCTAGAAAATATATCTTGGTTTTCCAAGCCTAAAAAGACTCACTGACCTTACGTTATTTTCTTTTTTCTTTTTTTTCCAACAAATATTTATTGAACACTGGTGTGTGCACAGCAACATAACGTGGTCCCTGCCCTCGAGGGGCTGACAATCTGGTCTCAAACCAAACCTCTTAATCAGTTACCATGGACAAGCTTCCACTTACGCCCTTTCATTTCTCTTAAAGTATTATGAGCTAGAAAATTATTTTTTAAAAATACAAGGAACTACTAAATACAAATCAAAACAGAGCTAAACAAATCGTTTCACTCTGCAAACTCACTCAAAATAGAATGGGTGACCAAAACTGGGGACAGGCATGACATGTTTGCGATCATGGGTAACTACATAAGGAAACTAATGTATCATTCCAGGAAAAAATTATCCAATGTATATTCAAGCCTTGTCAGATTCAGTGTGGACAAATATAACCCAACGCTCAAGTAAAAGGCTATTCTGACTATTGCATTTTTTTTTCAAATCCTTCATGTGATGAATCTGTCAGTAGACACTTTTCACTCCAATCAGCCTCCAACAGTGATAAAAAACAGAAAAGCAGAAACCAAATTCTAGGAATTCCACCAGTGTACCAAAACAATATGTGCACATGTACAATATTTAGAAAAAATTTTGTAAACAATTGTCTTTGAACAACCTAACCAAAACTACATAAAAACACTGCACAAGAATGCCCATGTACCCAAAATCACTGTCTCTGTCTCATTTCATTCCTCTTTATCAACTGTACAGACTCAATTAATTCATCCTCTCTAATACCAGTCCAAGATGACTTGTACATCTACAATGGCAATTCAAGTACCTTCAGAATCTGTATAAAACAAAATATCTTTTTGGGCAGAACTAAGAGGTCTTAGTGAAGAGGATCCACTATTCTAAGGATGAATCCAGAGTCCATTCTCAAGGTTGTAAGGCAATGTTCACCAAGTTAAATCTATGCTTTTAAAGTAGCCCATTAAATGGGATGCAAGATTCCAACTGAGTAAGCTGCCACCTTTTAGACTTAATCTAAAAAACTGATTAAAATACAACTGGAATGTGATAAAAAAAAAGGCTGAAAAGTGACATTTGGGGTCAGAGTTTCTATGTCTTTTATAGGGCCAATTTCATGGGTCACTGGGTTTATTTATGTTTTTCTGTGGGAATGATGGTGGGTGGGAGACAAACGATTCTCTTTATTATCCAAGGCAGCGAAGCAAATTAGGGCTGGGAACATCGCATGCTTTTAATGAGCTGAAACTGCCACCTAGTGCTTGGACTCAAGTTCCAACTAAAGATCCCAAACGCACAATTTTCCATTTATGTTTTTATCACCCTCATTTTCTATATAAAGGGAAAGAAGAAAGAGCAGCTACAGGTAAGAGACAGAAGAATGCTTGTCACTGCTGATCACATGATTCTTTTCTTGGCTCTCCATTTAGCTTAATGCTGGGTGTCCATCACAGTGGCTCCTTTGCATGCATTGGTCAAAACTTCTATCTAAAAAGCTGTCATATTCCAACTAAGAACTAGTGACACTATTAGGCTCTCCCCAAGATCTGCATCAGCCAAAAATATACAGCATTCTTCATCTCCAGATTCCTTATCCCTCCTGTTCTAAAACCCTCTGTCAAGTTTCTGTTACAATTTCTTCCATTATCTCTGGTTTTAAAATGTCCTTGATCGGATGGGAAAGAAATGCTTCATAGTTATACAGAAGACTAGTGTCAAACAACATCATCTTCTGAGCCAGCAAGAAAACAATGCAGTTCCAGAGCTGAGATATCACCAGAAGTGATTCTGGCTCTAGACTGGCAATGAAGTCTTCTGCCTCTTCTTCTCTCTGCTCAGGGGTGGGGTAGATCCAGATGAAGCCATTATTGCCCAATATCACAGAGGCACCACAAGGCAAGTCATGGAAAGGAGTTTTCTGTCTTTTCACCAAGGAAGGAGAAACCTGGACAAGAACACCCTGCCCAAGTTTTCCATATTTTAGACTCCTGGTATGTAGAGACACTGCACCATCTGAAAATACTTCCCGGACTTCAGCAGTCATAAGATCCCCTTCCCATAAGAAGTTCCTCCTTGCAAGTTCATCTTCTGAAGATCTTCTCCTCAGCTGTCCTCCTGGAAGTTTCATGGATGAGAGAAGCAAGACTGAATCCAGCCTGGAGTTGGTCTCCACCTTCCACTGCTTCTGCTGAACCTCTGTGATTCTCCCCACTACAATGTCTGCTACTTCACCATTATACCTTGTTTTCACAGCTTTCACACAGATCAGCTTGTTTACTCTCTCCACAAAGCCAGTCACAGATGCTATTACCTTCTCATCTCCCATATAGGTACCACAGCCCAGCATGATGCCGGTATCTGTGGTGATCGTGTCCCCAGGTGCCACCAAGTGCTTCTGTGTGTCCCAGTCCAAGTTCTCAGGGAGCCACTGGCAGGCCACAGGAAGCCGAATCTCCGTCACCATCTTGATCCTTATTTATTTTCAAGCTCTCTTTTTAAAACTTTTCCATTTCACTAAATCCTTGGGAAAAGCATATGCTTGATACCTTACTTTAACCTTTCAATCTTTTATAATCTGTTTTCTGACCTTCTCACTCAGGTCATCTGCCTCAGTTTCTCTTCATATGGCTGGCGAAGTTGTGTCTATCCATACTACTGACATACTTAATGAAAGCCAGTTTCTCCCTCTTATCTCTGAGATCTAATATAAGCTTTAATCTATGCTGTTAATTTTTTTCTTAAACAAGCCCCAACTTATCTTTGCAACTTTATCATAAGCTAGTCTTCTCATTGAACTCTATAGTCTAGTTAAACTAGCCTCTCCTCTACTCCTTCTAAATGTCACTCATTCTCTGGTTTCCATGCCCTTACAATGGGTGTCCCCTATGCTTGGAACACCATTACTCCTAATCTGTGTTTCCTTTTATTTGATTCCTTCTAAGTTCATCTCAAGTGCCATCCTCTATATGAAGCCTTTCCTGTTTCCCTCCATTTGCTAGTGCCCTCTATCCCAGATTTACCTTCCACTTATTTTCATATAGTCTGCATATACTTATTTATGTATATATTTTCCCACAAAAGAATGTATTCAATTTGAGAGTAGGGATTATTTCATTTTTGTCTTTATATCCCAAGCACGTCACTCCTGGCATATTGTAGGTGCTTGATAAATGGGGGTTAATTGATTGAATTTAGAAACAGTTTAATGTTTGCTAAGGATTCTGCTAAAAGAAGTTCTCCAAGATAAAATGTTTCTAATATACTGTCCTTTTGATCTCAGTAATTAAATATTTTAGAAGAATGGACCTGATTAAAATGACTGTGAAAGTTTCAAAGTAATGTAGGTTTCATACATGTGCTTTAGAAAAGATATTTAAACAACAGTATGAGACTGAATAAGGATAAAATATTCAAAGAAAAAAATACACTAAGTTCTTTCATCTATCCTCAGGCTAATTTAAAAATGAGTCTGAAGATTAGAAGGCCTTAGAAAAGGATTCCCACCAGAAACACCAATGTTGTCACTCAGATGATAGTCTAGCACAGCCAGAGACTCTTCAGACACATGAATAATCTGCAAGGCTCCATATTTGGACAAGATAAGAGCAAAGGGCTTCTTCAGGAAAGTCCCAAGATATTCATAAATGCACTGTGTGGATTTTGGAAGTAACCTGAATCAGCAGCATTCATTGCAGAGCATGTGCTCTTTCCATAGCACAGACTGAAACTCCCCTGGCCTTCGACCTCTTTGACCTCCTCAATGTCAGGAGATTGCACAGAGTGCATAGCACTCTAAAACATTCAGGAGCACCTTACCTCAGAAGGTGGAGGTTAGCATGGAAATACAGATGACCCATTAAGGCCAAGCAGGGCTGATCATCTGTCCAAAAAAAAAAAGCAAAAAGCAGAGCTTGGCTCTGAAACAAAGCTTCTACCCAAGGACAAAGGCTTGAAAAAATGGGTTATCCAAAGAAAAAAACTTCCCACCATAAAAATTTGTTATAAGGAAAGATAGTGCCATTGCTAGGATGTAGAGGAGCTCTGATTCCCTACAAACACACCTATGGAGCTCAGAAATGCACTAGTACAAAAAAAAAAAAAGGAAACCTATGGACTCCATAACAAAGCCCTTGAGATCCATTTTCCTCTCTGGCCTATCATAATTTCAGTATGTTTACTTCTTGGGTAAGGTTAACATACAGATTAATGTAGACTTAAAATGAAGGACTAGAGCAAAATCTGTTATACCTCAGTTGAACTAAAAAAAAAAGATGGTTGGAATTCATGATTTCAAATGACTACAGTAAACATTGATATGATAAAAAAAAGAGAGAGCATCAAGGAAATAATATTATGCTCTGAGGCATCATAGATAATACATCAAAATCAATATTTAATATATGCACTAAATGATATAACATCTAAATGTTCAAAGGAAAGTCAATAAATTAGAGGGAGAAATAGAAGGTAAAACTATAATTTGGGAAAATCTCAATGTATCCCTTTCTGACAAAGACAAATATAATGAAAAGATTAATAGGAAGGAATGATCCAAATAGTACTTTAATAAAATTAAGGCTGATAGAACTGTGGTATTAACTGAATGAGAATAGAAAGGAATTTACACCTCTCTAAGCTGTAACATGGCATCTTTCCAAAAATTGACCATATGTTGGGAAGACCTCTCCAAAACTGTAGGAAAGCAGAAGTAAACATTACACTTACTGATCATAATGCAATAAAAGTATAATCAATAAATAGTCCTTATAAAAAAATTGGGGATAAAATAGTATAATACTAAGGAATCATGATGTGAAAGAATAAATTATAGAAATAGAAAAAAGTTAAATAGGAAATAACATTAAAAAGATGCCATTCTAAACTTTATTGGATGGAATTAAAGTGACTGCTTTTTCTTAGAGCACATTTTATATCTCTAAATGCATTCATTAATAATACAGAGGAAGAACAAGTCAATTAATCCATCATACAAGAACAATAAAACTTGAAAAAAATAAATTAAAAATCATCACATTGAAATTCTGAAAATTAATGAAATTGAAAACAAAATATCATTAAATTTCTAAGTAAAATTACTATCTTTTTAAAAGAAAAGACACTAAATTAACTAGTCTGAAAGAGAGAGCTCTATTACACATGACAAAAATGAAAAGGGAGAATTCACTACAGTTGAAAAAGAAATACAGAAAACTTATAAAAACTAATATACTAAAATGTGATAAAACTTACGAGTTAGAGTAAATGGATAAATATTTGCCAAAATTATAAAAGACTTAGTGAAACAAATGAGAAAATACATTATTGAAATAACAATTATTTTTTTGAATTTTATTGATTTTTTTGTTTCATGCTTCACCATGGTATCCCATGCATCTATCCCTTTACCTCTCTTCAAGAACCATTATGACAAGAACATATGATAAATAGGTTTATTTTTTTTTGAGAGGAAAAAACAAATTGGCACAACTGATACATTGAGATAGTTCAAAATCATGCAATGTGCGATGTGTAACACCTGTGGACCTCTCACAACCTAAAAGGAGTGACTTGGGGATGTCTTCTTATATTTCTTCATTTCAGTCCCACTTGGATCTTTGTAATTTTGTAAGATTGATCTTTTATTTTTTGGTGTGTCATTGTTAGATCTAAATTGTTGCAGTTACTGGGTATATTGGGAGTAGGGGTAAGGTGTACTTCAGTCTGCATAAATTCATGTAGATCTATCTTTTCTTACAGCTTAGTAGTATTCATGGGCCACAATTTGTTTAGTCATTTGCCAATGCATGGGCATCTGCTTTGTTTCTAATCCTTAGCTATCACAAAAAGTGCTGCTATAAATATTTTGGCATATATTGAGACTTTCTTCTTATCAATGGATTCCTTGGGACGTAAGCCCAGTAATGGACTCCCTGGTTCAAAGGGTATGAATATTTTAGTCACTATCTGCATGATTCCAAACTGCTCTCTGAAACGGTTATAACATTCTGTACCTCCACTTAATGTTAATGAGCATTAGTGAGCCTATCTTCCCACAACCTCTCTAGCATTAGCTATTGCCAGTTTTTGTCATTTTTGCCAGTTTTTAGAATGTGAAAGAAAACCTTACAACCGTTCTTATTTTCATTTCTCTCATTTTCAGAGACATGGAGCATTTTTTCATATGATTATGAATACTTTGTAGTTCTTCTTTTCAAATCTGTTTGAAGCATGGTCTCTCCTCCTGACAAAGAGCAGGTGGACTCAAGGCATAGAAGGAGTCACAGTTTTGCACATAGTCACAGTGCGAATTTGTTTAGCTTGAATATGTTTAGGTGTTACAGGGGTTTTTAGTTGGGGGAAGGAAGGAGGGAATAATTATGGTGGTTAAAAAAAAGGAAAAGTAAAAGAATAAGGTTATTGAAACAATAAAAATATGAAGTTCAGAAAGAAGCAGAGACAAGCAAGGGAATTTGGAAAGTAATGTTTTGCATTGCCTATATTTTTTTTAAAAGAATGGAAAAGAGATCTACAAATGTATACACAATCCTCTTTATTTGTTCTATTTTGCCTATATAAGGTGTGTGCTCCTAAGATGTCATCATAAGAAATCACAAATGTTTTATTCAATGGTGGCACTGTGTATGATTTCTACCACTGTGAAAAGACAGTTGTGAAAAGGGGCCTGATCTGTGATATCCCTAGAGTACCCAGATCAGGGGATCTTAAGCTAAGGTCTGTGAACTTTTTTTTTTAACATTTTGATTCCAATTTCAATATAAATTGGTTTCCTTTGTAATCCTTTATATTTTATGCACCTAAACATCTCCTTTTTGGTCCATAGGCTTCATTAGACTGCAAAGAGACCCAGGCCACAAGAAATGTTAAGAAACCCCTGTAAGAGGCTGTGTGACTGCCCACCACCAGCAATCTCTAAGACCTGGCTCATTGTCACCCCCATTTGTCTTTCTTTGCCACCATTTTTCCTTTAACATGTTCTCCATCCTCCCCCTCCTTTTTCTTTATTAGAGACTGAAGGTCCAACAGAGGCACAGATCATATTTATTTAGACTTGTTTTTCAAAGATCTGAATTCTATACCACATACATTAGCATAATAAGAAATATAATTTGATTACTGAATTGTTGAAGTGAAAACAAAGAGAGGCAGCTCAAGGACAAACTTCCAAAAAAACATTACAATAGAAGTCATTGGTCAAAGCCATGCTTTCTTGGAACTACCCTATGATCCTTGCTGTTATCTCACAAATTTTTGAATCTAGCCCTGAAGGTATTCTTGAATTTAGAAAAGCTAGCCAGCCTTTTAGATAAGTGATTTCCAGAGCCTCTGCCATGATGATAAGAATCTTGTGCTTGGCCTGAGTGGTGAAGTTGACAAATGACTCTTGAGCACATACTCTCCTGGTCTGTTGTCTGGGTCGACACTGATGAGTAACATAATGGGAGG